GGTCTATTCCCTAAAGACCTAAAAAGAGCATGCTACAGGGACACTGCTACATCGATGTTCATAGCAGCACAGTTCACAATAGCAAGACTGTGGAACCAACCTAGATGCCCTTCAATAGACGAATGGATAAAAAAAATGTGGCATTTATACACAATGGAGTACTACTCTGCATTAAAAAATGACAAAATCATAGAATTTACAGGGAAATGGATGGCATTAGAGCAGATTATGCTAAGTGAAGCTAGCCAATCCCTAAAAAACAAATGCCAAATGTCTTCTTTGATATAAGGAGAGTAACTAAGATCAGAGTAGGGACGAAGAGCAGGAGAAGAAGATTAACATTTAACAGGGATGAGAGGTGGGAGGGAAAGGGAGAGAGAAGGGAAATTGCATGGTAATGGAAGGAGACCCTCAGGGTTATACAGTGGAGGGGGTAGAGAGAGAGGAGGGGAGGGGAGGGGAGAGTTGGGGAGGGGGGAGGGGGGAGGATGGGAAGGGCAGCGGAGCACAACAGACACTAGTATGGCAATATGTAAATCAATGGATGTGTAACTGATGTGATTCTGCAATCTGTGTATGGGGTGAAGGTGGGAGTTCATAACCCACTTGAATCAAAGTGTGGAATATGATATGTCAAGAAATTTGTAATGTTTTGAACAACCCACAATAAAAAATTAAAAAAAAAAAGAATTGTAATGCAAAAAAATAAAATAAACAGAGCTCCTGGAAAAAAAAAAAAGAAAAGAAATGGAGGAAACTCAAATGCATATTGTTAAGTAAAGAAGCCAATCTGAAAAGGCTATGTACTATATGATTCCAACTAGATGGCATTCTGGAAAAGGCAAAACTATGAAGACAATAAAAAGATCAATGGATGCTGAGTTTAAGAGAAAAAGAGAGATGAATCAGAGAGTGCAAAAGATTTTTAGGGCATTGAAAATATTCTGTATAATACTATAATAGTTAATACATTTGTCCAACCCATAGAATATATACCACCAAAAGTGAATCCTTATATAAATTCTAGATGCTGGGAGATAATGATGACTAAGTGGGTACCACTCTGATGGGCAGAGTGCAAGAAAAGCACATGGTAAAACCCAACACTAACACCCATTCATGATAAAAACTTTTCTGGAAAACTCTGTACCTTCTGTTCAATTCTGTTGTCAGCCTAAAATTGCTCTTAAAAATAAAGTCTACTTTAAAATTAAGTATGTTAACTGGTAAATGCTTTTCTCCAGCATTTTGCTAACGCTAACAGCAAGCAACTAGCCATCTCCAGGACAACCTCCAAATGAAGTGGCAGCAGAACAGGTCCCTGGTGACCTCCCTGTGGTTTACACCCACAAGGATGTAACCAGAGGTCCCCACTGGGCCTAACCAGAAATGCCACCCAGCCTTCAACATGGAGAAAAGAGGACAAGCACTCTCTTTGAGAGGTAAGAAAAGGCCACCAGCTTGCACTTCAACTCCTGCGGATCCCAGTTTTAAACTATAGTATTTTACTTTCCATAAAAAAAAATAGTGAAATTTACTAATAAATGTCAATTTCTCTTTTTAAGATAAATATGAAGTTCTATCATGAAGTACTTATTCTTCCTGAAACAATTTTGACTTTTGCCAGCCAAAATCTATCCCAACGATTGCACAAAAGGGCCAGCCTAGGGGTCCCATGTCAAAGAGCAGGGATTAGGCAAGAGAAGTTGCTCAAACATCTTTGGAGAAGCAGTTGGTGATTAGCATTAGGAATAAAACAGAAGTATACTGGATGCACATGCCCACAGCCATTGCCCAGAAAACACTGGACTTCAGAGTGACTAGAGGCATTTTTGAAAGAAACTACTCAGAAATCCTGACCAGTTAAAGTGTGCCTTTTTAACCCCAAGCTTGATTCTCAATTTAACAGACAGAAATGCCTTGTTCTATATTGCTAGAGAGGCAAGCATTTGAACCAGACCCAATTCGTGTTCTCAAGTATAGGGAGGTGTGACAGTACCCACTTAAGTAGAGTGGAAATATTAAGAAACATTCTTCTTCATTTCAAAATGAGCTAAGAAATGATGTGCTGTCAAGTAAGACCTATCTAATGAATTAAACATAATGTCTGCATTTTGTCTTTTCCTTTTCACAACACTTTGAGCACATTAAGTGCTCTACAAAAACTTAGAATCATCCCCTTGCTAAAAAAGCTTGCAACCTGGTCACAGGACACCAGCAAAAAGAACACTCCCATTGGGTCATCCCATAGGATGTCCATAGCTAAGAAACACATCTAGGGTCCCCCCACCCAACCCCTGCAGCTGTTCCCACAGAATCCAACCATATGAGCAACAACAGCTTGGAAGGCAACCAAGTCACTCCAGTTCCTAGGGTTTACTTACCTCCAATATTTACTATGGACTCTGGCCCAATAAGTTGGTTTTCAAATAGCCTTTCTGCCTGTCGCAACTTCGTATTTGGTTGCAGGACACCAAGCAAGATAGGGGGTTCTTTAAAGCTGTAAAATAATTAATTGTAAGAATTTGTCTGTAAAAATATACGAGAAGGAAAATGCTTATTGAAGGTCATGTCAGCTCATTCTCACAATGGCCCCATCTCACCAAGAGCCACAGTACTTGAAGTGGCCTCTTAGAGCTGCCCAGGCTAGCCCCATTAACCTCCCACATCCCCTCTGTGCCACTCACAATAGACCTTCCATGCTGGGTCTTTGGCTGGTTGGTTGGGTGTGTGTGTGTGTGTGTGTGTGTGTGTGTGTGTGTGTTAGGGTTGGAACCCAGGGCCATGCACATGTGCACTTGTACACATGCTAGACAGAAACCCTTATCACTAGGCTACATCCCTGGCCCCGTGCTGGGTCTTGTCTGCACTAGGCACTTTTCATTTTAGATGTTTCTCCCTGGCTCTTCCTCTACCTGGAACATTAAACCCCTTATAAGCTCCTTTTCCCCCTTGTTCCTCCTTAGCAAGGCCTGCTCTGAACACCCAATTTCATGTTCCCTGAGTCCAGACCCCTATCTGCTCTATTCTTTTATAGCACTTTTCAGCTTCTCATGTACTATTTAATTTACTTTTCAGGTAGATTTATGGTCTGTCTATATTTATTGTCCACTAGAACAGATATTTCATGAAATCAGGGATTCCTTTCCATGTTTAATTCTGCTGCATCCAAGCACCTAGTACCCAATCTGGCACACAGGAGGCTCCCAATGCACACTGTTGGGGGGTAGGAAAGAGAAATATTTCCAAATCCTCTTCCCACCTTGCCCTCCAGCAAGGTAGTTTCTTAGCCTGCCCATCAGTGTGGAAGAACCAAGGGTGGACAGGGATAGCTGAGGATGTAGAATGATAGGAAAGCTTCCTATCCTACCTACTTTCCAATCAAAGCATTTCACTCCCTGACACCACCTCTAAGTCAGCACTTGCATAGGACACAGATAACATCACCACCCCCAAATCAAATTCCCTCTCCTTTCCTTATTCCCAATAATGGCTTTTTCCTGCAGTAAGGAAATACACTTTTAGGTTAACAGGGGGCTTAATTTCTAAAGGAAAAAAGCAAACATGCACTTGTGAAAGTGTCCTGCCTGCTTTGGCTAAGGAGTTGTGCACATCTGAGTTCAATTTTAACCTCGGGAAAGTCCATCTCCTGAGGTGAGTGTACAGAGTAAACTGCATATTGAGCACATAAAGCCCAGGGACAGAAACACTCAACATCTCTACCACCATGCCCTTGGACTTGGGCTGAGTTCTTCCACGGGAAGTATTCAAGAAGTATTTGTGGAATCAGCATATAGGACATGTTCCTGCTCACAAAGAGCCTGAATATAATCTCAGTGGGGAGAAAAAAAATTAAAAAAAAAACTTATGAGAAAAAGAACTTATGCAAAGAACAAGCAAGAAAGGGTCCCCATACCAACAGCCAGACAGCAGCAGTCTCAACAAAAGGGAGTCAAAAGGAAACCCAAATCAGGCAGGGACTCAGGGTATCACCCAGCCAACAGGGCAGTATGGATTCTTATTAAAGCCAAGTGAACCTCTGCTAACTCTTGCTAACTCAATAGCTATGACAGTCACATTCATTTTCTAATTTTTATCCTATTTCTCCCCATGGTTCTGCCTGACCAGGATCACACTTCAATCTTCCCCCTGAGATCAAACTTCCTAAATATCTTTGCCAACTCTGTCAACTATAAATGTAGTAAGTCTGTCCCACACAAATGCATGTGTCCAGGACACAATCTTGTGGCACACCCTCCAAGCAGACACTGGCTCAGCAGCAGCTACTTGGGTATATACTCCAGAACTCTGAGAAAGGACTTAGTTTCTATCCAGAGAGGAACAAAAGGATTATTTTTCACTGAAGAATATGGATTTTTCTAGTCTTTTTAAAAATATATTTATCAGTCAGGTATGGTGGCATATGCATATAATCACAGTAACTTGGGAGGCTGAGGCAGAAGGATCACAAGTTTAAGACCAGCCTCAGAAATTTAGTGAGACCCTCAACAACTCAGACATTCTCGCAAAAAAAAAAAAGGACTGGGATGTAATTCAGTGGTAAAACACCACTGGGTTCAATTCCCAGTACCAAAAAATAAATAAAATAAATAAATTTTTCAGTTACAGTAAAATTTAAGGCAAAAAATATTTAGCAGTGCTTTGGAGAGCAGATTTTGTTACTGTAACTTTTAAAAATGACAGAAAGAGCAATTCTATTAGCATATGAAAGCCTTTTCAATATTTCAGAAGTACACATTTTATTTCTAGGGTGAAACTATAAAACTGAAAAGATGATAAACTTAAAAAGTAGCAAAAACCTTTATGGGTAATCAGGAACATCAAGAGCATAATAAATTAAATACAGATAGTGCCCATGAGAGATTTGTAGAGGAAGGAGAGAAGGAGAGAAGCAGAGTCCCTCACATTCTGACCTCCTGCAGTAGGGAGCAACCTGGAACCTCGCAGAGCTATCTCAGGAAAACCGATTCTAGTCCCATGGTGGTGGCTCACTTATCTGAGGCTGAGCATCACTAAGTTGATGCTTTTTGTGTGTGTGTGTGTGTGTGTGTGTGTGTGTGTGTAATGTTGGGGATTAAAACCAAGGCCTTGTGCATGCTAGGTAAGCACTCTACCACTGAACCACATCCCCAGCCCCTGATGCTGGCTTTCTTACATCTATACAAACCAACTAATAATGGCTTTGTCATCCTGCTCACATCTCACCACATTGACAAACAGACTTTCAAAGACTTTATCAACATCTTATAGAAATCAAATGTTGTATATGGTCTGTCTGGAATAGACATTCCTCTGATCTCCCACAATGGAAAAGGAAGGTAACTTTGGGGGCAATCTTTTGAAAAGCCTAGCAGCCTTCCTGATGACTTTGCTCAATAAGTATTAACTGCATAATCACCCAGTCTGGAAGAGCTACCACTCCTCTCCTCTCTGTCCCACCAGGCTTCTGGTCCATGTGCTCTCTGTGTTGTCTCTGATGTTTGAGAGGTCATCTAGTGCTCTGGAGGTAGCCTCACAAATATACTTCAGTAGCTGATCAGTCACTCAGCGCCACCTCCTGGCCAGGTCCTGTTTACCTTCATGCCACTCACCAACTGCCTTGCAGAGAGATAGGGTAAAGTTGCCAAACCTATTGTGGTAACAGCACCACTTGCCTCATTGAGTGGGTCTCCTTCTTTTTTGCTTGTTTCGCCCTGAACAAGGCTTTAAATGAGGCTTTTTAAAATGCTGTCATTAGCATTTTCTCCAAAGCTCAGTTCACTGCTGTTCCTGAACTCTCAGCAGGTCTTTGGCTTTTGCTCCATGAGTTAGGGCCCATCCTCCCAATTTCTTAGCATGTCAGTCTTGTCTGAGCCCATGAGAGAGATTCCTGTCAGTCACATGGTTTCTTTTCACTTCTCCTCCCTTCCTTCCTCAACAGGCTTATTTACTCCATGGAGAGCACTTTCTTTGCCCAACATCACATCCTTATTGGGCCAAGTTTCCTCCCAGTTTCTGGCAGAGTTGCATGGCCCTCTTCCCACGGCATTTCATCATCATGCTTTCTACATATAAACTTGCTTTCCCTGAGATCAAAGGACTTCAGTCACTAAAGCCCCATCCTCCCCCTCTCAGCTCTCTGCTGTTCCCCCCTTTTCAAGGGTAGACCCTTGAAAATGCACTTCTGATCCCAAGCTCTGGACACTATTCACTCTCCTTTGCCATCTGGATTATCAAAGAAGGTCCAGAAAGTTTCTACTGGGGTAGGCTGAGCCATCCTTCTCTATGTTGAAAAGGGTTAGCAAGAGAGGTCCTTTGGAGAGAAGTTTCAGAATGTCCTCAAGTGTAGCTCAGGCAGAAAGCCACACTGGAGAACCTGCTGGCATACCAGGAATTAGAGGCTACGCCCTCAGAACTGACAAAGCCATAGTCTATTCTCAATCTCATTGTGTTTTCACAATACTTTGTACCTTTGCTAATTCTAGTCAGTGATATTCTCTCTCTCTCTCTCTCTCTCTCTCTCTCTCTGTGGGGGTGTATGTGTGTTTGTGTGTATGTGTGAGAGAGAGAGACAGAGAGAGAGATATATATGCAGGGGGTCAAACCAAGAATCCTGCACTTGCCAGGCAAGCACTCTACCACTAAACTACATCCCCAGCTCCTTTATTAATTCTAAATCCAACAACAAAAATTGACTCTTGCCACACATGTCAATCTAAGCTCAGAACTGTGCCCTCTTTATGTCTCTGTATCCAAATGGGTACTGAACTTAGGCATACTAGATGCTGAATACATTTTAAGTGAATTGAATCCAATATAAAATCTTAATTTTTATTTATAACAATATGTTGTTCATTTGTAAATGTTATATTCACTCTATAATTAAGCATGATTCTTGACTGAAGCTTTTGAAGCCTTACATGGTCTGCTCATTTAAAATAAACTTCAGGCTCTGTATAGTGGTGCATGCCTATAATCCCAGCTACTCAGGAGACTGAGGCGAGAGAAGCACAAGTTTGAGGCTAGCCTCAGCAACTTAGTGAGGCCCTAAGCAACTCAGCAACCTATCTGAAAATAAAAAATAAAAAGGGCTGGAGCCAGGCATGATGGAATATACCTGTAATCCCAGCGGCTGGGGAGGCTGAGGCAGGAGGATTGAAAGTTCAAAGCTAGCCTGAGCAAAATTAAGGTACTAAGCAACTCAGTGAGACCCTGTCTCTAAATAAAATACAGAATAAGAATATATTTCAAAGGTTCCTTTTTACAAGTTATAATTCACTATATTACTCACACAGCTCTACTGGAAAAAAGGCAATTTAGGAAAAACAGAACATTAATTACAAGTTTTCAAAAAAAGTTCAGTTGATTATAAAATTTAAACAAGGTAACTTAATTAATCTTCACTGGTATATTCTTTTGCCACTTCAAATAAATCAGGGTTAGCATCAATATCTCTAATTGTTATGCTTCTCTTATTTTGATTTTTGTCCTTAATTTGTGCATGGTTTGAAACAATGACAGAGATAATATCACACATATACTGAGTAACATCCAACCCAACATGAAAACACAGGTACTAAGGAAATCATACAGTTCTATTTCTTGAAACTTACCTTTTGGCCAAATTAATTTATTCATCCTTCTTTCCCAGAAGTTACATCAGCCTAATACATTTCCTCAAGTAACTCCTCCTGAGGATGACAAGCGGCTCACCTGAGAGGCTGGGGATCTATGGGAGACTCCAACAACATCATGGCTCCAAGCAGGGGAACAGTAAGGAAGACAGCCAGCATCAAGAAGGTCACCCGGAAAACTCTACCACTAAAGGAGCTGCCAAAAATAACACACAAAGGCAATCAACAGTGCTCTACACAGTGACAAGCTTGGGTGATCTGAAGGCCCTTTATGCAGAAATAGGACCACATACCCAGTTTCCCACTGATAGGTCACCAACTTCTATGGCTTGTGATTAAAGGTTAACACTGATTACTAGGATTGACAAACATGACTTTGTCCTTTTTTAAAATATCTTGAATTGTATGAGATACTCTGGTCAGTTATTTTCCAGATCTTAGCAGAGTTTTAAAGAGAGAAAACTCAAAGAATTGATGAGCACAAAAAGTAATGGAAGAAAAGAGTTCTAATGATGTGCAGGATACACACTCATCTACAGAGAAGATAGGTGTCTCTCTCAAAAGTCAAGATTTCCTGGTACAAGGATTCAAAGCAACAACACTCAGTACTATATTCTCTAAGATTCTCAGGGATAAATGATAGAGAGGGCTGGAGATGTGGCTGCATGCTAGAGCACTTGCTTAGCATGCAGGAGGCCCTGGGTTTGATCCCCTAGGTTGGATCCTCTGGGTTGGATTGGGGGGGGGGGGCGGTGGTAGATACAGATACACAGAAAGAAAATTCAAGAAGCAAATAGAATCCTGACAACTGCCTGAGCCTCCAATTCCCCAATTATTTTGCAAATTCCACCTTCAGTAATTGAAAGAGAAATCCAGCTCGTCTACTTGGTAGAAGAGATCTGACAGATATTAAAGGCAGTCACATAGAATCTAAAAAAATTAAAACTCCAAATCATCACCCCTAAAATCTTGGGAAGATCTTAAAGCTGCCTTGGAAATCTCAAAAAAAGCTATGGACAAATGACCAGTAGTGACTAAAATATTTCTGAACCAGTCCTCACATACATTATTTTTCACTGGGTAAACAAGTGAGAACATTTGGCATCTTACTACAAAATAAACCTCACAGGATCATTATTTGCTTACACAAACTGCATTCAAATTTACTAAACACTTATTAAGATTAACTTGCACCAAATAAAATCATGAGCTCCTAAGGTAGAAAATTTTTTTCCTATCAAGAAATAAAAAATGTTGACAAAGAAAAAAAAATCAAGATTCATACTTAACAAAAAAGATTTTATTTAAGGGCAGTGCTTTGACTTTTGACAGAAGGACAATCTTCTGATACTTGAACACGTTTAACTCTGTTTCAGGCATAGTATAGAAAGGTGGAAACCTGGGTGCCAATCTTTACTTTCCTAACTACAAGCTAAGCAACTTCAGGCTGATTTCTTTACTCCAAAGTTCCCTATTGTGAAATGTGATGTTGAATAGGAAAACAACAATGTCCTGCCCAGTTTTGAATGCGTATGGCTAATAAATGAATAAAACCAAAAATAAATAAATTCTCCAGTTTCAATTAAGATAGGTGAAGAAAAAGACAAGGGAAAGAAAGATAATGGGGGAGAAAAAAAAACAGCTTTCATAAAAGTATTCTCTTGCATATATTTAAACAGCACAACTGAAGGGTGTTTGAACTCTGCCAACAACATGAGTGGGCAAGAAACAGAATCTTCCCCAGAGTCTCCAGAAGGAACACAGGCCTCCTGTCACCATAAAATTATGGCATCTCCCAATAAATGGAAGGAGCTAAAGAATACCATATTAAGAAAAATAAGCCCCCAAAAATCAAAGGCCAAATGTTTTTTCTGATATGCAGATGCTAATTCCCAATAGGGGGGTAGGGAAGAACAGAGGTACTTTGGATTAGGCAGAGGGGAGTGAAGGAAGGGGTGAAGGGAGGGGGTAAGAAGGATAGTAGAATCAATCAGACATTAATATCCTATGTACGTATACGACTATACAACCAGTGCGCGCCTACATCATGTACAACCAGAAGAATGAGAATGATGTGTCAAAATGCATTCTACTGTCATGTATAACTAATTAGAATTTTAGTGAGATCTCAGAAAGAAGTGAGGAACATGACAAAATAGACACATATAATCTTAAAGACCTGACTTGTGGGAAACAGAGTGTTAGAAATGTAGACATAAAGGCACTGCTGATGAGGGCCGAGAAGGATGTTGAGAATGTGCAGGAAAGGGAGAAAAGCAAAATTACTTGTATGAAAGTAGAACCTTGTAATACAGTGGTAGAAAGCTAGGCCAAATGTTGACCTGCACAAAAGCTGAACTTGTAAATGATGAGACTGGACACTGAGCTGAGGACATTTCTGAGCAGTATTGAAGGTATAACCTGGCTTCTCCTTACTGCTTTTGCTTCCAGAGCAGGTCAGGCATAAATGGCAGAACTAACGACTTTTTTCCCCCTTTGACATTTCTCATCTGTCCTTCTGAAAACCTATGAAACTCTGTCCCAAACTTCCTTCTCTTTGCTCACATAAGGTTCAGTCAGAATCCACACCCTGAATCCCTAGGCAGGTAAAATGTCCAGTCAACAGTCCTTACCCCTTTCACTAGGTGGAAAAATAGGTGGCCCAGATACTGCAAACCCAAATAAAATGCCACAAACCTAATCAAGGAGAGGCCATGAGAACTCAGATTGCTGGAAAATACAGGCAGTCAGTAAGGGAAAAGTCAGGTTGCCCCCGCTCCGCCAATCCTGTGTCCAAACCCCAGAGTCATACAACCTTCTTCTAATGCAACTGAGTCATACCAATAAGGACACGTGAAAATGCCCAATTAGCACAGATCAACTAAGACCAGACAGACTGACAGGAGGCTAACACAACCTAAGAGGTCTGCAACAGGGAGAAGAATAAGAGCCATCAAAAGAGGAAAGACAAAAACAGTAAAAATAAGAATATGCCATGCAATGTGCTTTATGTGGGTAACTAGGCAGAACTTTGTATCTCCCTGCTTTACTAATGAGGGAACACATGGGGAAAGCCTCCAGGGGCTTACCCGTGGACCACTGCAAGAACTGGAAGAGCACCAGTGAGAGCCAGCTCCAACTCTAGGTCTATGTCATCATCGGCAACACTGTCTGCCAAGGACAAGAGGAGAAGGTAGACCTACAGCCCACTGAATGGGGATTTGAAAACTTTGGACGCTTACTGCAATGTGCCTATTCTAGATACTTCAGATCAATGGAATCACACAATACATGGCCTTTTGCAACCTGACTTCTTTCACTCAGCGTAACATCTTCCAGGTTCATCCAAGTTGCAGAATATAATCAGTACACTGTTTCTTTTACTAGTGGAAGAATATTCTTTTGTATGGATATACCAAAATTTCTTTATCCAGTTATCCACTGAAAGACATCTGAGTACAAAGGAGAAGTGGCTTCTTCCCCTGAGTGCAACCTAGTGATTACTTAATAAGTACAAAAGGTTTTACTGGGTGATGAAAGTTTTGAAACTAGATAGAGCTGGTAGTTTCCCAATGTTGTGAATACACTAAATATCACTGAATTGTACAGTTTAAAATGATTAACTGTATATCAATTTAACCCTAATTGATAAAAAAAAAAGTTGAGTAATCAAAATATTCCAAACTTAGATGGTGATAACTGTTAGAAAATTCTGTGATTATACTAAAAATAAAAACACAAAATTGGATATTTTAAATGTGTGAAATTTGTGATATATGAATTACTTCTCAATTTTAAAAAATGTTTTTTAAAAAGTCAATGACATTTCTATGCAAAGTGCCACACCAGAGGCTGGAACATTATAACTGCAGTGATTTTCTTGAAGTGGCCTAAAGTTTTTTAACACAATGGAAATAACAAAGTATCCATACAATAAAGTGGGGCTGGTTATGAACACAATGGCAAAACGGCATTTGATAGAGTGGTTCTTTTAAAAGCAGAGTCCAAAACTTGAGGCAAACACAGTTGTAGTTTGGGGGATTTTAAATATCCCCCAAAGCTCATATGTTGAAGGCTTGGTCCCCAATGTTCAGAGGTGGGGCCTTTGGGAGGTGATTGGAGCATGAGTTCATGAATGGATGAATCTACTTATGGACTCAAGCTTAATGAATTTGAGGAAAGGAGCTTTGTTATAAAAGTGAGCTCTCTCTCTTTACTTCCCAGCCATGAGATGGTCAGCTTTCCTACACCACATGCTTCTGCCATGATATTCTGCCCAGTCACAGGCCCCAAAGCAAATGAACCACACAATCATGAATTGAAACCACAAGCCAAAATAAACCTTTCCTCCTTTAAGTTGATTACCTCAGTTATTATGTCACAGCAAAAGAAAACTGACTAACACAAACACTTTCAAAGGTGCATAGGGAAAATGTGTGGCTGTTGGCTGTAAGTATTGACCTCAAAGACATTCTATACAGAATCTAACAGGATATTCCTGTCTTTTAAAGGAAACTGATATAAGTATTCCTCCCATCCTAGCCTTTCAAGGGAAACCACAATGTGTAATCTTTCATCTTATAGCTATCATTAACATTAAAATCATTATCATTATCATTAAAATAACAACAAATAATGACAATCCAACCAAAGTGCAACTTTTCCCCCTCACCTAACAAAAGAGATTCTTCTCATTTGTCTCAGATTCATAATACTTCTCCTTTACTACACTGAACTTTATATGTTTTTAAAGGAGTTGTGGGAGTTTGCCAGGGATTGAACCCAGGGTATCCAACCCCTGAACCTTGCATTTTAAAAAAATCTTAATGTAATAATCTGATTATGACACCTGCTTAAGCATCTTGTTGGCCCTTCAAATAATGATAAAAGGCTCAATTATGTCCAAAACAAAAAGTCTAGCCAGGATTGAAAATGACAGTGCCTATAGCTAGAAAGATGGTCAAAATTCCAGGGACAATGACATGTGTCCCATATTGCCTATCCTTATCAGGTATCCAGCAGCGACACCCCTTACATTTACAGAGTATAAAAAGCAGAAGAATTTAGAGTTCACTGTCTAGTGCTCCCAAAGGCAGCAGCCCCTGGATGGCCTACATCAAAATAATTTGGGCAGCCTTATGCAAGACTTAAACATTCTAGTTGGGAGGTCTACAGGTTGAGAGCCCCTTTTTTCCTATCAATTGTTCTTGCCGCGTTGCTGGCCACCACTAACCTTATCCAACTCCTTTCCCAATGAAAGTTCATCAACACCTCCTCACCCCTACTCAATCATCATCCAACCTCTACTAGAAAGGTGTATGGCCAAGTTTTATAAACAATAGCCTCAAAATAAATAAAAGTACTTGAGCAGCATTATCCATTGCTGATGGAACACAGTAGCCATTAGCCATGTATATATATTACTGAGCATTTGAAATGGAGCTAGCTTGTTAAAAAAAATGAGGCAAACATGGCTCCTGTAACCGTCCTATTCCTGCTCTGGGCAATGCACTTATTGTAGTCCAAGGTTCACAATTTCCCCAGTTTTTCTCCATGTTTCCCTTTGACTCTGTGCCCACATTATTGTAATTCGGACACTAACTTACTACTGTCCATTTTCACTGACAAAGCATCATACATCCCTGCTTGTGCTGACACATCCAGGAAGGCTGGCAACTTACTTCCCAGCTGCAGTCTGAGAAATCAATTTGTTTATCCCATTCTCTCAAGAAGAGCCTGAAGCAATGCTCACCTCCTTGAGGACACATGCACCCTGGAATTTTCTACAGTCTCTAAGGCAAGAGCATAATCACAATGATGCAACATGTTTTCACAGTGACTGCTAGCCTAGCCACAGTTTACAAAATCCTCTGTAAATTTCACCAGCCAAATCTGAAAGGTGTTCTCTAACTCAGCAGCCCAGACATCAGTGCCTTTAATTGTGAACTGAAGTCTTGATGTGTAGAGAGGCCAAAAAAATAGCATGTGGTTGTTTGTTTGTTTGTTTATTTTTGTGGAAAACCTGTTCATCCCCAATCCATAAGGTCCCAGCAATTTTGAATGTCAAGGTAATCCCTGGAACCTGAGAAAGTCAAAGAGTAACAAGTGCAATCTTTTTAAATGACTGCACCTTGAATTTGCTCATTTTTCACATCCCTTTAAATTAGATCTTCTGGAATCAGCATTTTTCCTTGAAAAAAAAAATAAGAAGTTAAGAGACAAGTTAAAAGAATCATTTGGAAAATACACACACAGGCAGAACTAAATGAAAACTTCAGATTCCTGACTATTGTTGAATTCACAAATTTATGACGGCCCCATCTGTTCCTTTACATTGCTTCCTTACTCTTCAGTCTTCAAATGGAAAGAAGAGACTTATAATTATTTTTTTAAAAAAGCAGACACTTGTAATTAGCCTAAAAGCCTACAGGAGTTTATTGAAAAACAGATGTTAAATTCTCAATGTACTCATTCTTCACTCCTAAACATTTATATTAAACAGTACTCTTCCTAGGCAGAACTGTATTCCTAAAGAGAAGGAATACTTTCAAAGTGTGCAATTATTCTTTCAATAAAGTTTCTATAGCATGTGGGGAAACTGATGCCAAATAATAATTATAAAAAAGCTTGCACTGGTATGTTAAGTGCTTAGCTCATTTATGTTCCACACTGAATAAAAGGATTTAAAAATCAAATTCTCCTTATAGCTCACAAACAGAAATTCAAGAGCTTTGACACAAAAATCTTATTTCCAAAGCATATTCTTAAAATGTGCTTTTCAATACAGTCCAACAGCCAGTTTCATCCTCTTCATTCACTTTCATTTCTCCTGTAACTTTATATAAATCATCTCACTCAAACTTCAATGACCTCATCAGCAAAACAGAACAAATGCTACCTTTCAGGCCAAGATCTAAGAAACCTATATTGTCCCTTTTTCTATCATTAATGTCTTCCAAGATTTTATTTTGTAACGTTTATTCTAAGTTTTATGTCCTACTTTTATTCATATTTCTTTATTTCACCCACCATACACAAGACTTTCCTGACGTATGTTAAAACCCTCAACAGGTTATCAAGAGGATAATTAGACAAACTACTAGAAATGACCCCAAAAGAAATGAAAAATATATAACTGCAGATTAAAAAATATGAAAATTAGCTATAATGTCATAATAATAAATGTAGAAAGAAAGGATGGTGACAAAAACTCACTTTGAAAGAAACCATTATAGATATACAGTCAAGGGATCAATAAATAAAAGAGAGATAAAAATATAGGAAAATAAGAACAATTGTTCATGGCCATCAAGAAAATATCTTATACACAGATGTAAAAGGCATACTGGAAAAGATCAGGTGGCAGAAGATGACTTTAGAACATATAATTCACCTTGTCATTAAGGAAGAAATCCCCCACAGAGAATCTGAACAAACAATTTAATTAAGTCTGCCCCTCTGCTCTGGGGTCAGGAATGTCAGAGCAGCCATCCTAAGGGTTGGGCCCATTAAAAAAGTGCCCTAGAGTACTGTATGCCCACTTTTCATTTCAACACACTGCACCTCATCAGAGCCAACTGCTCTTTCATTTCTCGTGTAAAAGTGCCTTATTTTCATAGTTTTTGTAGTAAAGCTTGACCAATGCTTGCATGTCCATTCTAAAAAACTCTGATCAGTCATCAGCAGCCAATTAATTTATAATATCCCCAGCAAGCAGGGCAACAAACTTGTCCTAGTTATAGCATTGAAAGTACTTGGAAACCCGAGGGAAAGGCAACCCAGAATGGGTAGAACAACTTGGTCTATGGAGTCTCTTGTTTCTCCCTAGAAATTAAAAACTATAAAATCATGAAGCTCAGGACATAAAACTGAAAAGTGAATTTTAAGTATTCATACCAAATGCTATGTTTAAGGATCATGCTTCAGCTCACAAAACACAACATACTCAAATTCTGGAAAATCAGAAAAGGAATAAAAACACGAAGCCTGAGATTTTTTTAGGGATCAGCAACTACAGTTTCCTTTGCTTTTCCATCCCCATCAGGAAAACTTGCAAGGCTGAATTCCCACCAAAAAAAAAAAAAAGCCTATAATATAACTTCTTGTATAGGAGAACCGCAGTTCATGCAGCGCGTGATGGGGGACAGGTGCAGAAGAGCAGGTGTAGAAGGCAACTCTTCGCTGGATCACGAAATGGAACTCCAGCATCTTTTCAGATTTTCCTTGGGGAAAATGGGTGCAAAGGAACAGAAAGACGCAGGGCCGTGACCGGATGGCTGTCAAGTGAGCTAGCAAGAAAGACAGCACGAACGGGCGAATGAAATGAAGGAAAGAGAGGATGCAGCCTCTTTGGAGATCGGGGCAAAAAGGGACAGGTGCTGCGCGAGGACCCGGAGAGTCGACTGGGCGCACGTTGCACCTGAAGCCTGAAGGAACTAGCACCTGCATCCGTTTTGTCGGAGCCTCTTTCCTCCTCTCTAAAACGAGTTTTGCGTGGGGATTAAATCAGAGTTCCTGCAATGTGCTTAGCATAGCATTTACGCGGTCGCGGTTATAGCAGTCGCTGTTGCCCAGGAGGGTCACCCCGGTCCTCTCTGCCCCGGTTCTCGCTCCAGGTCTAGAGGTCCGGCCTACCTGCCGTCCTTAGCCTCCGGAGCCGGGCCATCATCCGTGACTACCTGCGGCCGCAGAGGCCGGCGCTGCCGCAGCCCGTCCGCCTCGCTCATGATACGGCCGCAACACCTCGTCCACTGCCACCCGTCGCACTAAGGCAGCTCCGGCTCAGAGGCCAGCTCGCTCCGCCCCTTGGCCCCCGCCCCGTAGTCCCCGCCCGGTGGCTCACGGAAATGACGTAAGTCCGACGACCAATCCGGCCGCCAGAGGAGGCTTAGCTCTTTGGCTCTTGGCGTGTTTTCGAGCTGTCAGCGCGCGGGGCCCAGCGCACTACAAAGGCCTGTGGAGACTTTGACCCGCCTTGGTCTCTGCGACCCTGGACGCTGGGGGCCGAAATCGTCCCGCCCGGACCAGCCGTAGCGCTTTCCGCCTTCCCTTCAACTAGTTTCTGACCGTGAGGCCACACTAATAATTTCTATGCACTTGGGCAAGTGCTGGACTGAAGTGTTGGCGGGTTTTGTCCGAATGGAGGATGACACTGTTTATTAAACGACAAAGATTGGGGTCTTACAGGCAGCGTAAAAGACAACGTGTTCATGTGCTTGGAGAGCAATAACCCCTGAAAATTATTTCATCTTTTCTGATCTGGTTAATGGGAAAATCTAGACTAGAAAATGTTTTTCTTTGGTTAATATCAGATATTGGTTGTTAGGTATTCTTGTGAAGGTTACAACCGATAATTGATAAAGGTTCTATAAGGGTTACCCTTGAGGCAGAGTACAAATAGAAATTAGTGCTAATTACAAAGAAAACATGAAACATCATTTAATTTATCCACAGTGCATTCCTAGGTATTGAAAGATGATATTGAGCAAGCCACAGATAAGGTCCCTCCCTAATAGAAATTAAACTAATGGGACAGATGACTTTAATCAGGTTATTAAAATAAGTGCAAATTTTTAAACATAGTAATTGCTTTAAAGGAGATGACTTTGATCTTGTGAAAGTATTTGACAGGTGAAGAGATTAAAAAATGAATAGAATTTGGAGGGAAAAACAGGGTGAGGGATTTTCAAACAGTGGGAACCAAGTCTTGTTAACAAGTGCACTAGGAACCCGTCTCTGGGAAAACATGTTCAAAATTAGGCGTGGAGCCTTTCCTGAAACAAACATGACATTTTCCTTTTCAGCACTAGGTGACACTAGAATTCCATGTGAATGTTCAGTATTCATTCAGAGTTAGAGCAAGCTTGTGGGAAGTGAAGAGTTCTTAACACAAATTCCATTTGGTAGAGATCCCAGACATTGGCAGCATTTTACTTCATTCCATGTCATCAAAAGCAGCCAGTAGAGTTAATATGTCAGGGATGGTGTTTTAACAAAGTGCTATATGATCTGATCCCTTCCTCCTGTTTAGATTATCCTTCCTGCCCTGCATTCCCTGGTGCACACACTCAGAATTCCCTGCCACTCTTCACTTATTATTTATTCTTCCTTGTCATACATATTTTTTCACCTCCCCAGGCTACCATTCTTATCATTCAGAGCCCACTTCACATATCATTGTTGAAGATCCTTACCCCAATTTCCCAAGTAAACATCATCCTTTTTGTTTTCAAAGTACTTTGAACATGCCCTGACTATAGCCATAAGCCTACTGCATTGAAGTTATTTGTATTCCACACACAGTGTTAAAGTCCACTGACCATAAACAACCAGGAACACATCCACCAAAAAAATATTAATAATAAGTTGGGTTTATTGAACATGCAGTGGCAAAGAAATGCATCAGAGGACTGGGGGGATTCTCAAAAGTGGGGTACTCATGGGGCTTCAGGGCTTGACTTAGCATAGTCTTGTTAGCATTCATAAACTAGGAGAGTGAATGGAGGAGCCCAAGGTCTTATCTCTGGAACACATGAGTCCATGTAGAGTTACTGGGAAATTAACTCATGGTCTTATCTCAGAGCACATGGCTCTTAATGACTTGGTTTTAAAATAGTCTGAGATCATTTTTATGTTGAACAGCACACCTTAGTAGTTTCTCTGTTTTCAAGTCATACCAAAGTCCACTTTGCTTATTGTATCTTGTTTCAGTTTTCAGACCTCCTACCCTACCCTCCAACCTAGTAGCCAACCAGATCTACTTTGCTTTCTCATCTTGCCAGTTATTGGCAGAGGGATGGGACCACGATGAAAGGTCACATCAGGTTTCTCAACTTAAGCACTATTAGCATTTTGAACTAGATAATCCTTTATTGGGGAGGTGGAAGGAGACCTGTCCTGTCTATTGTGGGATGTTAACAGCATTCCTGGCCTCCACCCACTAGCATCTCACCTTGTTGTGTGCTATTGTTTAGATCTAGAACCCCATAGATCTATAGGTTAAAGGCTTGGTCCCCAGCTTGTGTCAATATTAGGAGGCAGTGGAACATTTAAAAGGTGGTTCCTGGTGGGAGGCCTTTAGATCACTGGGAGCAAGTCCTTGAAGGGGATAGCCCCAGCTTCTACTTCTTTCTCTTTTTGTATCCCTTCCATGAGGCAAGTGGTTTTCTGATTTTCTCAGGCATTTGTTAGGATGACAGAAAGCTAGCTCAATAATCAAAAATGTCAGGGTTGGGGTTGTGGCTCAGTGGTAGAGTGCTAATTTAGCATGCAAGAGGCTAGCACGATCCTCGGCATCACATAAAAATAAAATAAAGATATTGTGTCCACCTAAAACTAAATAATAAATTTTAAAAAAATTTAAATGCCAAATGTCCCCTAAGGGACAAAATAACTGTTGGTTGAGAACCACTAGCTATTGGTTGAGCTGGGTGGTGTCAAGGGTGGTGGCACATGCTTGTAATTCCAGCTACTCTGGAGGCTGAGGATTACAAGTTCAAGGCCAACCTGGACTGAGCAACTAGACCCTGTCTCAAAAAAATTAAAAAATAAAAAGACTGGGATGTAGCTCAGTAGTAGAGCACCCCTGGATTTAATCCCTAGTATCCCCCCAAAGGAGAGAAAATCAATAGGTTAGGCCATTCCACACCTGGACTCAATATGAGGCTCACTTCCATTGAAACACTGGCCCACAGGACAGCATTTGTCTCAACAAAATCAGGTCTTTGCCAGCAAGGAGGAAGGAGCACATGACACTGGGAAGGCAGCCAACAGTGTGCCTTGGAGCTAAAACTTTAAACAAGCCTGACTTCTAGTCCAGCGCTTTTCCCCAATCCCATGCTATTTCAATTCTTTGCACAGATATCTCCAAAAAGCCTGCCAAGTGCCAAGTGCTGTGACAAACAAAGGGAACTAAGGTACCCCAACCTGCATGGCCATTAAAATCTTGGAGGGTAAATAAGAAGCATAATACCCTTATAAAGCACTGCTACAGAACTACAGTGGGCCTCGAGGGAGAACAAATGCCATTAGGTGGGAATGATCATAGAAAGCCTCTTGGAAGAAGTGACCTCTGCATCAAGTCTTGAATAAGTAAGATTATAGTGAGCAGGTGTCAGGGGTTTAGGGAAGGACAAGAGACAGGCTAAGAAGGAAGAGTGGGATACCCAGGGTTGATAAACAAGGAGATGATGATCAGGGGTAGACTTCAAAATTACTGAGATAAAGGAAGAATAGTCTTAAAGGGGCAAAAAAGGGCAAGAAGTGGGCTGAGCCTTCCTCTCTGCCCACAAATTCAGGAAAGCAGGAAGAGGAACAGCTACCTTGAGAAAAGTTTTCAAGGCAAGTTGTGTCATCATAGGAAACTGGCTTCAAACTGGTTTTCAAGGTGGAAGACTAAAGACTGTGAAGTTAGAAGAGCTAATATACAGCAGAGAAAGCATCTTAGACATCATGTGGTTGCCAGATTCAGACACACACAAGAGCCAACTTACAACATGGTGGTGATCATCTATAGTCCTAGTCATTCAGAGGCTGAGGCAGGAGGATCACTTGAGCCCAGGAGTTTGAGACCACCTTGGGCAACATGGTGAGACCCTGTCTCAAAATAAAAAGGGTTGGGGTTATAGCTCAGTAGTAGAACACCCCTGTATTAAATTCCCATATGCATTGAGAAATAGAGAGAATTTCTTGAAAGTATCTGGGATACCTCATAGAACCAGGAACAAAGTTACTCTCCTCACCACCACCTCCTACCTCCAGGTGTCTTGCCTCTGCATCCTCTCCATGCTTCCTTGGCAAACCCTTCTGTTCGATTGACTCCCCTCCACTGTATAACTGGAAAAGACAGGTTGTCACTTTGCCATTTGATAAAGTAAGATAGCCACAAGCAGGGTTCTGGCCATGAAATGAAAACAGCAATCTGGGAGTTCTTTTGACTTTTTCTGATACAAAAGTCAAATGGAACGGACTCTGCCCCTCTTTTGGAGCAGAAACACAGTGAGAGGAGAAAAGCCCAAGTCAGTGGGTGCTATAGACTCACTTCCAGCAACCACCTACCTCTAGGCTACTTATTCACTGAGGAAAACAGTCCCTGTACATCTCAAACCACTTTCAATGGAGCAATTTGTGCTGTCCCTGAGTACATCCTATCTGAGTGTTGGCATCCTCTGCTTGGAGATGTCAATGGCAAAGGAGCATGAACTCAAACTTAACTCTTTACTACTTCCCCTTTCCAGAATTCCACCCCCAGTAACTACAGTCTCTTTGTCCAAATCCAGAGTCTAGGGAAGATCTGATACTCCCAGTAAGGTGCCCAAGCCTGGGCTGATGTTTTGTGTTAGAGAACAGGATCCTGTGACCCATGGACTGTTCAGCAGAAACCAACAGAGCTGACAAGGATTTGCAGGCGTGGGCAGGGCAGAATTGGCACACTGAATATATGTATGTCTGCCCCCATGAGAAGCAGGTGGGTTAGAGGTGAGGATTAAAAATAGGCTGATGGGAAAATTACCTTAATTGCCCTACTAGGGAGGATTCATAAGTCAACCCAGACTCAGTAGGAAGAAGTACTGAATAGGAAAGACATTTCAGCAGCCGGCGTCTACCAGGGTGTGGTATCCATATTTGTTATGTTTTGTAAAGTAAATTCACCATCCTCATTGTTCCCTCAATGCTGACTTCAAGATGGGCACAAGTCACTCATTAATCATGTCCTGGAAACAATTGCTTGAAAGCAACATACCATTTCCATTTTGATGATTACCATTCTTTTTT